CTTAAGGTCAACTCTTAATTATTTTCATGTGCATTAATCAAGGTCAATGATATTGCTATAAATTTGTTTTGACATGGCTGCTTAACTTCTGTCAGCAGAAGCCAGACACTTTTTTCTGCCAGCCAATGGCAAGAAAAGAAGTGTACTTAAAAACTGAAGCTCTTCCTAGGACATGCTTTATAACTTTGATCAGTAATCAAGGAAGGTTCTTTGGGTTGATGACTTTCGATTAGTATAATGTGGTAACGTGCATGATGGCTGATCACTGAAAATGTTTATGTGTTACACAAAAGGAACTGTGAAATTTTTCAGGTTCTTATAAGTACAATATTATGGTGTTAGCAAAAATAATGAAAACCTTTTTATTTGGCCTTGAGATGGTTCCATTTGAAAACTTCTTAGCAGTGTGGGCATACATCAAACTATAATGAAGCCACACTGGATTTACATCTGGCTAATGTCCATGCAATATGACACAAGTATACTTCTAATATAGTACTCTTAAAAACATAGGAAATGTGTGTATCTGAATATGACAATTTTAAATTACTATGCTTTTTTTTCTAGGAAGTTGAAGCTTTCTTTTGTCTATTACTTAAAATACCACTTCGAGTTTGTGGACATGAAAAATATGATTTCTTTCCCATTTCACAGTTGGAAAAACTGAACTATAGGGAACAATGCTAGTAATTATCCATGATTAATAGAGGTGTATATGTAAATCAATGTGAATAAATGTATGAAATTAGATGTGCCAATGCCAGATAGCTCTGCTTATTTTTTTAAAAGATGAATGCTTTCATATAAATCTCTGTGTGAGTCCAGCATATATCTCTCTGTGTGTTGAGTATATTTGGAAATGTACTCTGTAAAATGTATGGATATTGAAGTGACTTATGTATTAAAGCATTTTAATATGTAAAACAAATTATGAGTGCATACATAATGGTTATTTACAATGTGCCATACACTTACATATGTGCCTGAGCACAGCAAGTGGTAGGTTGGAATTTGGATATACTTCGCTCATTAAAAAAAGTGGGAGAAAGTACATGTTACTTTCTTAGGGTTGTGGGATTAATTGAGTTAATACATGAAAAAGACCTTGGAACTCTACTAGTAAATGAGAAACCTACTGAGTATGTTAACTGTTGTTATTATTGTTAATATTACTATTATTATATAACATGAACTGTTACATTAAGGGAGCTGAAAAGAGGCATTTTCTCATGGATTTCTACATGAAATTGAGAGGATTGTCCAGTGAATATATTCAGGAGTTTCCCCCCATTTTTTCCTTCCATCTCTTTGGTGTATGATTTCAAGAACCCATTCCTGAGAGTGCCAGGTGAGGGCAGGGCTGTCCCCTCCTCTACTGCTGATAGCATCTGGCTCTTTTTATGCCAGGCCTGCCCATAACAACACCAATCTCCCTTTGGGAGCAACATACCAGGCTGACTTCAAATTTATGCAAGCCTGGTTTGTTTGTAGGTTGGATTTTAATTTTTTCAAACTTTAATTTTGGGGAGTTTTGTTTTGTTTTCAAAGAGAGCTTTAGACAGCTGTATTAATCATGCAAACCCAGCCATGTGCAATGCGTTTTATCAATGGAAAAACAGGGACTGAATGGCAAGCAGCTGTGAACAAACCCAGTGCAATGCCTGAACCTGGAAGATAATCTCAACATTTCCCAGACCCACATGCCACATGGGGTTAGTGATTGGAAAGGCTGTTCACGGGATAAATAATCAGATGGGAGGCAAATAAGTAAGACACATTCCAGGATTTGTTTGTTTTTAAAGAAGCAGTGATTGGAGAAGGAAGGGCTGAGGGAGCCCAGAGAGCCACAAGCTCAAGGGAATTTTTCACTAGAGAGCTGTAAAAACAAAACAGTGATGGTTTGTCCTCGTTCTTTTCCCTTCTTTCACTTGATTTTAACTTTCTAAGGCTGGTTCCGTCACCTCATACTGAAACTGTGGCCCCTTTCAACATGAGGGCATCTTCAGGTGCACTTTCATTATGAAGGGCTACGTACAGGCTTAAGGGAAGAGATGTTACCATCATGCAGAATTCAGAGGCTCCAGGAAATGATTTGAGCTGAACAAAGGGAGAAGAGTTCCCTCAGACATTTAGAGCTGAGACTTTTTTCTCATTTTACAATTCAGTGAATTTTCTGTAGCGATATAGTCAGGGGTATTTATGCAAATATATGCAATTCAGGACTCATTTCAGAATAAATAAATCTAAATTAAAATTAATGGGAAAAACACCTATCAGAAACAGATCAAGGACGGAATACTACTTATTTTCTCTATTTATCTTTATATGTATCATTTAAATTAATGAGCAGGAAAGCATACTGCTTGTGTGTGCGTGTGTGTCTGTGTTTGGCACAGAGAGAAAGGACATTTGAAATTTCTAATTGGCCACAGCCGATACACATTACCCTTTGGTGTAATTCCAGTGTTACTATTATCACTGCAGAAAATCAAGCAATATGATGAAGGAAAACCAGGGGAAATGCATTTGATTTATTGAGTCTTGTTTTGGTTTCATCACAGCTTGAAGGGGTTTAGGATGGCATTCCTGCTGAGGCTCTGAAGTGCATCCCCTCTAGGCCTGCTGAGCCACTCAGAAGAGGGGAAGAGGTCTAACACTCCAATGAGAGGGTCCTGAAGCAGCTGAAGTGAAATGTGTATTCCTTTTCTGTTGTAAATTAGGAGAGAAATTTCTCCTTTTTATCATGGGAGGGTAGAAAGTGATCTTTGTGACCTTCTACTTTCAAAACACCTTAAGGAAATTAGTTCAAAATTATTCAGGACATTTATAATAAACAACTGCTTAGGGACACTTTAATGCTTTGGGGGTGAAATGTAGGATCCCAAATAGATGATGACAATATATAATATTTAATTAAATGAAGGAGTCTTGCACTACAGTTGTGACCACAGTAGGGTATGCTTTTCATAAATATTTGAGTACTACCTTGGCAAGCTATAGGATAAGCATTCTATCATTAACTTTTTTTTTTAAGAGAAAGTGAATTTCACATGAGTGGCTCTCTTGATTTGAAAGAGGAGGACTGGGGATTCCTAGAAGTTAGAGTCTTTATGAAGAACAAGAAACTTAAAAGGGACTGTCTTTGCACAGCAACCTCTCACACCAGCTCTCCCAAATCTCTATGAACAGCTTTTCAATTTCTACTAGCAGAAGCCCAAAGTATTAGTAGTAAGATAAACTATATTCTCTAAAAGCTATTGGATCTAAGAAAGCTAACTAAGGTCTACCTACAACAAAAAAATCAAATTAGGGTCATTCTCCAATCAACAATTCAGTTTGTGGGAAACACAAAGTTCAACAAAATTCCACATGCTCCATCCCTAGACAAGACTGTTTCTCAATATCCAACAACTGTCCTTTGTGCAGTGTCTGGTTTCACTTTGTTCAATGTTACATATGTCATAATGCATGATCAGATAAATATATGAGTTTGTGGCTGCAAAACTATTGTCACAAAAGACACATAGAGTCATTGTGATACTGTGCAAAGCTCATCTTGGATGGAGCATGGCCTTTTTGAAAATGTTATCCACTGGGACAAATGTGTATGTGCTTGTTTTCCACATGAAGATATTTGCATGATGGCAACATGATAAAATGGTGTCAATCTTTGCAGCAACACTAGAAGATAAATGTCTTAAAATAATTGTGGCATTCAATAATTCAAGATGGGATATTTTCCATGAGCACTGACTTTTGTGTCAAGTCTGAAAATCAGACACATTTAGCAGTTTTATTTTTAGGCCTGGGATAAGAAACAGATTTCATTAATGTTTTAGGGAAGTTTTTTATTCGAGTTCTTCTAAACTTTTATATTAAAAATAGTTTGGACTCATCGTCTTAAGATTTAATAATATCTCTGTTATTAAGCTGTCTTGTTATTACTGGAAACTTGCAATACTCATTTCAAATGTAATTAAAATAAGCTTGCATGTATGTGAATGCATATATATGCAAAACATTGCATTATTGACAGTGAATATCTACACCCAATTTTGTTCTAATTTTTAGCTTGGACAAGTATTAATGAAACATGATATCTTCAAACTTATGAAACAGCAGCTTTCTACCATTAATTCTGAACACATTTTCTTTATAGTGTGTATGATAATCTTGTTTAATTGGATTTGTTTATTCTACACCAGGCCCTGCATGGGCCTAGTTTCTGTTTTTTTCCTTAGGTCTTTGAGTGCTATTTGCAAATCACTTTTCTGGAATTTAATTTCAATGGTAGGTTGGTTTCATTTCATATTTTTTGTATTATTTTAATTTTATTTGCCAATTTGTCTTTAAATAGCCTTAAGCTAGAAAGCTGTGGCTGTAACTTGCATCTAAATGTGATATAGGAGCCATAATTTAATTTGGATGTGTAGAAAGTTTTATGAAAAGGAATTCAGAATGATTACTTGTTTTTAATTTGTGTTTTCTAAATTAGTTATGTTTAAAAGGAAAACCCATGAACTGGCCAAGAGTTTAAGGCAAAGTAGTGTCCTTGTTGTAATTTGGCTGATTTTAACCTCTGGCAATATATAAATACATTTTTACTGGTAATATAGATGACTTCAAATTCAGATAGTATAAATGTTCAAATGTAAGAGTGGCCAGTAGAAGGATTTGTCATTTTCTGGGCTAAAGAACTAAAGAATGCAAGCAGCTATTTTCTGAATATGTGAGTTCATAGTTAACTATAATACTAATTGAAGAAAAAAATACTGCTTTCTGAATTTAGGATTTTCTTCCCAGATACTGACCGACTTGAAGTAGGTCAGGCGGCATACCTATCACATGCTTGTTAACTGGTGTGGAGATAGCACATTGAGTATCTTTTGAATGTTTAAAGAAAAAGATTTCTATTGTATATGAATGTGGTATGTTTTTCACACTATATATGTTGGAGAATGACCCAGCAATAGAACTACAGTGATAAAAATCATACTGACCTTGAATGGGGTGGGGGATTGTGGGTAAAACACGCTCTAAAGGGGAAAAAATGGTAAACATCATGGAGAGTTTAAATAGGTAGGTAGATGATAGATGGATAGATAGACAGATAGATAGTATTTCTCATATTTAACTACTCAAACAATTATAAAACAGATGAACTTCTTTGCATATAGGATAATATCTCCCATAAAGTATTTATTTGTTCTTTCTATTAGCACTAAAGTATCAAAGACAGGTATTAGTGAAATTAAAAATACGAAACCTTTTTTAAAAGTCTAGCTAAAGGAGACAATGTCAGACTGTGATAACTCTCTGCATATTATCCTACCCTCAACTGGGAAACGCCCAGTATCAGACTTTATATCTTTTAGTAGACAGTGTATATAGAAGTGATGCAATTTTAGTCATGCATCTTGATCCCGTTTCTCCATTTTTAGTTCATGACAAATGGACCTATGCTAGTGAGTGATTTCTTTCATCTTCCTAATTCTATAGCTCATAACAGCTTTAGCCAAGTCTCTACAAAACTTATTTTGGGAAATACTAACTCAACTTTTCTCTCAGGTTTTTACTTTCATATTAGTGAGGCTACTGCAGGAATAATAAGTGTTTCTTGGAATGATATAATTTTATTTTTAGTCTAATGCCTAATCTTACCCTTTTGTTACAGTATAATCTCACCTGAAATTTGATAACCAATCAAACTTGCTTGATGATACATCCTATTGAATAATAAAAAGTACTTTTTTCTTGAGCAGTGGGGTCTTAAGCTTCTGAGTTTCTCACAGTCCCATAGCTGAGCTACTAAGTATAAATTAAATGAGCTGATGGAATTTGGGCTTTAAGATACCTTCTATATTTCTCATTAAATACCTAGGTTTAGCTCCAAATCCTCCTCTGACACTTTTCCAGGAAGCAGAATGCTGTGTTAGTGATAAGATACATTACTTGTTACTCTTGAGCACTATTGTATAACAAAAGGAGCACACACTTTTCTACATTCCTCCTAGAAGTTTGCTGAAGTAATGACCAATGATAAATGAAAATCAACAAAAACCAAACCATAAAGAAGTAAGCATATGTACACATTCAAATTTGATTTTCCTGCTATCTTATACAATGAGCTTAAAAAAAAGTAGATTTTCCTGGTCTCTGGCCCTCAATACATCTGATCACTGAGAAAAACCAGACTCCTTGCAGAGTGAGTGCTGAAAGTTTCCTAAGTGCATTAAGATGGAGCAGGTCAATAATAGCCCAATGAACAATGGTGTCTTAGTTACATAAGTGTCAAGTAGAAAAATGGTTTAAACCGTCACTGGTTATTTGCTATTAAGTTTCCAGTTTTAAAAATAAATAGCAGAACTGCTTTCAGCATTTATGTAGTGTTGGAGACCACTGTCTCATGTTATACTGTTTCAACTGTATTTTATTTTTATTATTACTATTATTATTCAGACTGTTTAAATGACTCGGCTTAATATTTTCTCATTATACTGTTCACAGCTGGGTGAATGCACTTTGGCCTTATTTCCACAAGGCCATTTATATTGCCAAGCCATCTCACCCACTTTCCTCTGGTTGCCCTTTCAACTGCTTCCCAACTTGTCATTATCATCTTAACTCCACCCTGTTATCATCATTTTAGGCTTATCATGCCCCATTAGTTAGTCTCATTCTCTTTATTCCATCTCTTTAACTTTTCTTTCCCTAAGATGCATTCCAGTTTTTTATGCTATTCTTCTACCATTATTCTGCTGCTCTTTTAGAGTTTATGGCAGGGCTTATGGGTTCACAACAGTGAAGTGTAAAGTGAAGTAAATACCAATTAAAATGAAAAAGAAAATTTCCAGCTATTGGTTTTCAAAACTAAGGGAGGGCAGGAACCTTGGGGGCGGGTGCTTCTCCTTTGGCTGTGAACACCTGAGGAGGTCAACATCTGATTAGAAGGTGTTAGGGACAAAACTTGTTGGCCCCAGGAGTAAGCTGTGGCTTTTAGCAAATCCTTTAACTGCAAGTGTTTTTTATTTGTCAGCTAAATGAGTGGTAGGGGTGTAGGGTGGGATGTTATTTGCTTATTCTGCTGGATACTTTGAGAAACAACTAAAGGAGCATTAACACAGTAGAAGGAAACACTTTGAATTAAAGGCACCTAAATGACAAAAGCTGGAGTTGAGTGTAGGGTTCTTATATTGAGGTAATTTATTGGCTTTGGTATGATTTATTTTCTAATTGGTATTAAAAAGCTTAATGGTCTTTCTGCAAGTCAACCTGTTTGATGCCTACACTTAAAGTGAAAAGGAGTCCAAGTGCCCACCTATTTTCTTCCATAACCACAAAAAGCCTTTTTAAGGAGTTTGCAGCTACTCTTTCAAACTACAGGGGTTAGTGTTCAAATAGTAGCTCAGATTGTTTTATTATGTGACTCTATAAGAAACTGGTTAAGAGGTCTGCCAAGTCATAACTAGCATCACTGAGCGGTGTATGTTTAACATAACCTCTCAAATAATAACTTAGAATGGTTTCTAAAGGAAAGGCGGAAGTAAAAAGACTTGGTATAGTTCTGGGTTTCTTAGGTAGTATTTAAAATCTAGTCAATTATAGATTTACAAGTTAATGATCTTTTAAAATTAAAAAGAAAATGAAAAAATATCTCCTACACACTGATATGGCATGGTCCAGTATTTCTTTGTATTTTTATTCTTTTGCACTCAATAGCCTCAAAATACCTTTCTAATCCACACATTTCTCTAAAGTGCCAGGCAGTCCTTCGGTAAGACTATCCTTTAACATGTAGGACTAACTCCCCGCAAGCCACTAGTCTGGAATACTAGTTGAGAATCTCAACATGTTAAAGATAAGCCCACAGTCAGTAAACTAATGGACCCAGGCTGAAGGGTGTTAAGAGGAATGAAAGTGGGAAGTGGCAGAAGCCACTGTGAGGGAACAGAGCAGAGTTAAGCCAGGGGGAAGTCCCTATTAAGTGAAAGGAGTTAGATGTTTCCTCACTTCCAAACTGCAAGGCATATCTTTTGACATTTTTGTCCACCTATATAACTTGATAATGTATTGGTCTAGAAACTGGACTCTGGAAACAGATTAGTTAAACTTAAATTCCAAGGTCAGCCTTACTCAGTTGCACTAATCACATAACTGCTTTGTATAACAGAGTTGTATAACTATGAGTACATAGTTAGATTGTCCTGACAACTTAGTAAGATAATGTATGTGAACATTTAGTATTAGCATATACTATGTAGTATATTGAGTACTCACGAGAAATAATAACACATAAATCATCACCCCTGTTCTTCCTCCTTTCCCATTCCACTTAAACTCAGCGTAAGAGCTAAAACAAGATAAACCTATCACTTTTGTTGGTATATAGTCCAAGTGTGGAAATGAAATTTGTTATGTTCATATGCAGACATATGAACTTCTTTTGGCCTCACCAGATGTACAAATCTTTATCTACATCACACACACTCTCTGTTTAACAAAGAGTCCTGAATCCCTTTCCATACACATTGTGACACTGGATTAACACATTAAGAAAAAAAATATAAGGTTTAACACTTATCCTAGGGGAGAAGAAAAAGATATGAAAAACACTGTTTGAATACATGGACTGAAGTAATCTTTGACAGAGTGCTAGAATGTGTGAAGAACAAGACAAATGAGAAAGAAATGCTTCCACTACCTTAGGAAGAAATTATTATGAATAGAATTTGTTATTGCAATCTCATTCAATTACTTTGACCCTCTTAGAGATCAATATTTGGATAGAGAGTGGAAAAAATGTGTATGTGTTATGTTGTTGAGGACAAGTTATTGCAAATTGACACCGTAAAAAGTCAGCATGTCGCTGCAGTGGACTAGGCGGAAAATGTGCTGACCCACCAAGGATGAATAATCTTGAACTCTTTAGGGGCTCTGGCTCCGGACTGTACCTGCTGCTGTCTCTGGCTGGCAGCAGCTCACCAGCTGCTGCATCTGCTTTGGACTGGCGTGGCCAGCAGAGCACCCTGCTGCCCACACAGTGCTTCTGTCTGGGCCTCTGGCTGCAGACATCCCCTTCTACTACCGTTCTGTGAAAAAGTACTACCACCAACCCTTGCATGGATCTTCCTTTTTCCCATTAATACCATTTTCTTGAATGTAAGTAATGGACAAGCCATTCACACATGCACTTCAATTTTCCTTTTCTTTCCTTCCCTTATTCTCTTCCTTCATCCCTCACTCCCTTCTTTCCTTGTTCTTTTGCTCTCTCCCCCTCCTTTTCTTCCATTCTCTTTTTTTGGCTCTGTGTGAACTGTGCCACCATAGAGCCCCACCCTTAAGGTTCCAGCTGTGTAGGGCATAACAATGTACGTCCCAAGCCTAATTGATAGAGTTGGGATGGGTGGGGAGGAATACCATTCTCACTGCAAAAGAAGCAGAGCTTCCTCCTTCAAATATTCATAACTAGGCTTTGGGTCTAAGAACAGGGCAGTTGATTCATTAATTTTCTGCAATTTTAATAGCTACTTTTTACTTCAAAACCTACTGACCTTTCAGATTATATTTCTTCAATAAGAATAACACCTCTTAACTTCACCATAATGTGGGAAACCAATTCCAAAGCAAATGCTGATGAATATGCTGCTTGTGCAAGTTGCTAAATGCAGAACTAGTACCCATGTGGACTGCTGTAGAGAGGGCCATGAGGGATGCACCACGAAATACATAATTGAGGATGACTTCTCCCAAATCATCAAGGGCATTCTGATGATGAAACACTTGCCTGATTCCTTGGTTTTCAGTTTACAAACAGAAATTCTGCAAGATTCATGACATTTCTTAGTTTCACTGGGTTAAGTCCTAGTCCAAGTAGTCCATCTTTTCACCCTCCTGTCTCTTTCTTTCTCACTTTCTCAATCTAGAAGCAACCTTTTTTTATTTGAAATATATCATTGGTATTTTTCTCATTCTCATGGAACAAGGAAGTAAGTATCTCAATGCAAATTATTTGTATTAATAGCAAGCAATTGCTTATTTTTTCTAACTAATCCAACTCTTCCATTTTCTCTTTTCCAATCCCTTTAAAACCCTCTTGTTGAGTATATGTTATTTTACCTAATCAGGTCACTTCAGACCTGTTAGAACCTTGAATTCATAGTTGAGGGTGGTTTTTGCCCATACTTTTGGAGTCCCTAATATTGGATATGAATCAGGTAACTACATTTCTTAACACATATCTTCCCAGTGTCTTGTGGATATTGATGTCTCCAGTAGGAGCACAGAACACTGACATTTGGTCTTTGGAGATAAGTGAACAGAGATATGAATTTTATTTTATTTTTTTAAATTTTTATTTTATTTATATGTGCATACAATGTTTGGGTCATTTCTCCTATATTGATATAACATTTGTATAGCTGTGTCCCAGGCTGATGGAGTGGCTCAAGCAGTGTGTACAGCTGTGTTTCATCAAATTGTCACAGACTGAAGTCAATAAGACTTATGGATGAGAAACTGAAGGTCAAATTTTGGGTAATTTGTGGTGATTTTTTTTCATCAGTGGAGTTGGATTTTGAGTGTTTTAACATGGTTTTAGTACCATGTTTTGAGAGCACTCTCACTTACATCGATTTTTCTTCTGAGAACCTGTTTTCTTGAAGGCCCATCTAAACTGAAAAGAACAAGATAGAGGTATCTTCCCTTGCCATAATATTTTTTTTCCAAATGAATGTGTGCAGAAAAGAATTGCTATTCCAACATCGTAACAGCATGTTCTTTAGACTTTGTCGTTGAGTCCAAATGAACTTTGTGGTTCAGCATGTGCCAACTTTTTGTTTAACTTACTCTGGCAAACAACTGACTTCCTGCTTCAAATGCCATTTCCCCCTGTCTATCCAGGGGGATTGCATTTCTTTTCATAGCTACTTGGTTAACAAAGTTGGGTGGGCAGAGACCTGACTGTCAAATGCTGCTAAAGAGCAAGACTCCAAGGTGGGATCTGCTGCTGAAATCAGGAACTTTGAAATGACTGTCCCCTTCTTAGTGAGTTTTATCGATCTTCTTTGATCTTCAGAAATTCTCTTTTTCTTGCCATTTCACCCTCTTGCAAAAAGTATATGGGAAAACTAATGCTTCCTTCTGTCATACGGAAGCCTTTTTGCAACCTTTCTCCCCCTCCTTTCTATTTTATCTTGTATTTTAATCATTCATTCCACCCTTCCTCTTGTGTCATTAAAAATATACTTTCTTTTTCCAGCCTCTCCCCTCTCCCAGCACCTTCTCCATTCTCACTGAATATTTCTTCTTCACCTTAATTACGGATGTTTTCCTAATAGCCATCTATTTCCAGACTCTTACATCACCACTGCTTTTTACAGGGGTCACCATGCAGGACATATGTGTTCTTCAAATGTTCTTGCAGTTTAACTAAACAGGAAAAAATATAACTAAGAAAAGCAAACAAAAACCTAGGCAGTTATCAAAATTAGGGGACCACAGAGAAAATTTCTTCCATTTGTAAATCTCTCTATGTATATGGGGATTAATAACTGTAGTTGTTCGTGTCAGTAAGTATGTTCTTATTTTTATATAAGTTTACCTTTAATACAGAAATAAATGATTTTCAAGTTTCCATGAGAGAAATCTATCACTTTAATTACTCCCACTCAGGTTCTACCTTGGCATACTTACTGAAAAGGACTAGGCTGGCGTTGGTGACCCCCAGCTTGTTAGCGGCCACGCAGGTATAGTTTCCATAATGCTCCTCAGTGACGTTGGTCACCGTCAGGGAGGACTGGCCCTCCGTGCTCTTAATCTCAAGGCCGTTAGCACTGTTTATCCTAAGAGTTTAAAACAAAAGTGTTAAAAGGAAAATTGATGAAAATATTAGCTTAGTAATTCCTTTCTCATCTTTACATCAGAGTTAAAAAAAAAAACAGAGTCTGTCATTCTCTGATCAATTTCTCATTTTAATCGTTCAGTTCCTATGATCAGAACCAATATCCATCTATAGAGAAGACTCTGGAATGGATGAGTTCCGCTGGACTTGGATTTCTGCTATAAGCAACAGACATGCAGATTGAAGCTACCCACAAAACAATGTACTTCACCTCTTATAATTTACCTGAGTACTTTGGGACTTCAGATTAAGAGCTCTAGGCAAAGCACTTCAAAAAGAGATTGAAAAGGAAGAGCTAAATATCTTCTGAGGCCTCCAGGACTTTCAGGGGAGAAGCTGGGGCATGGCAGGTTTGGCACATACCTGGTGTCATCCCGGTACCACTCAAAGTCAGGGGCAGGCACTGCCGATGCCTCGCATTTGAGTGAAGCTTGTCGTCCTGTGGTGGCTTCATTGCTCTTGGACTCTGTGATGGTGGGAGGATCTGTAGGAAGGACAGGTGCATGGGTTTATACGAGATCCAGAGGGCACTTCAGAATTTCCATTCAAGAAGGAATTAAGGAGGACAATCTTCTTGGAAAGAGGCAGAGAAGGGATTGTCTAGAAGCTCCACTTTCATGACTCATGATTGGATGAGTGGGACTGATCACCACAAAGTTAAAAAAAGGGCAGGCACTGTGGCTCATGACTGTAATCCCAGCTATTAAGGAGGCAGGTATCAAGAGGATCATGCTTTGAGGCCATCTTAGGCAAAAAAATTATTGAGAACCCGTCCTAACCAATAAGCTAGGTGTGGTGGTATGCACCTGTCATCCCAGATATGTGGGAGACTTAAATAGGAGGATTTCAGTCCAGGTCAGTCCTGGGCAAAAACATGTCACTCTATCTGAAAAAAACTAAAGCAAAAATGGATGGAGCATGGCTCAAGTGGTAGAGTACTTGCTTAGCAAGCATGAAGCTCTGAGCTCAAATCCTCAGTACTGAAAGAAATAAAAAGACTAAATAAAAATGAATAATGAAAATGGGGACTTGGTTTACCTAAATAAGACACTGCCTAGGATTTTATGGAAATAGAATCTATGATCTCTTTTCCCCTCCACCAATACACCCTTAATTATTCTAACTGAAAATTGTAATATTTATCATTTTTCCTTCTTAGAAACTAAGCAGTGATACAAAAGGACTTTGAATTGTAACTGTGTAATTTGACAATTTTTCTTTTTCTTCGTTGTCACTATTATTACTCTCGTTAGTGATGGCTTTGAGGAGCCTGATGAAAATAATAGAGGGCTAAAGTCTCCCAGCTGTAGCCTGATGTTGTCAAAGGAATTCAGACACTAACAAAGGAGACTAGTATTAGGAGGTTACTTTACCTTCTTTTCTCTTACATCTGCCTTTATGTTACATTGACCCAGATAAATTTTGCTTCTGTGTGTGGGGTGCAGTTTGACACTCCTCCTGTTGCATGGAAGACTTTCTGGTGCATCAGTTTTCTGCTCTCACTGACTATGACTGGGCCTACAAAATTATAACAGTCTTGAAATGCACTCAGAAATATTTGATATTTTAATTTGATTCTTTCAAACAAATCCTATGAAGGTGGATCAAGTCTTTACAGGTCTCCTAGGCCTGATGCTACTTTGTGCAGATTCTGACCATCAAGAAGAAGAGGACATTTCTGTCCAAAGGTCATTTGCCAGAATACATCAACACATCTTTGTATATGTGGAAAAGATAGAGCTGAGCAATCTGTTTGTAAAGGAAAAAGCTGATTTAAGGCAATGGGTAAAGTGAACTACAGAATGCAAAATTCACTTAAACTCCTGCTCTTTAGCATCTGGTCCATCTTAATTTTGAATTTTTTCTTCATTTTTTGAAACTATTACTTAAATTTTCTGTCTATAGAAGTTTCTGATCATCTGAGTTTTCAAAGATGTACAAAAGCATCAGACTGGTCTGCAGTTTCCTCTCCTATTTCATTTTCCCATCAGCTTGGAAATCTTTGTTACTGTGAGGGAGAGGAGGTGTGAGAACACACTGACAGTGCATATGGAAACAAGCATGTCAGAGCTGGGATTTGTTGTTATGGTTTCACTTTAGACTTACCTGCTTATTTCTTTTTATAGGCACAAAATGGGAAAATGATGTAGTGAAAGAACCTTGGTTTTAGTACCTATAAATAAGGGAACCAAACTTTTAAGATATCTATATTCCTCTCCACTAAATCTCAATTCTAGTAAAAACTGTCTCTTCTTTACAAATCAGTAGTTGATATCACTTCAGTCCATATATTTTCATACTGCAAATTCATATAGCTTTTAAATTGCTAATTTTTACATTATAATTCATTTGTCTATTCCACGAATTAGGATTTAGGATTAGCAGTCATGAATAGGAAACCTGAATTCTGACTTTTGACTCCACTCTTAGTCAGAACTATGTCTGGATGAGCATCTATACTAGTTTAAGTCTTTCTCCCCTTATCTTTTAAAAGAAGGAGCTAGCTTAAAATGATCACTAAGGCTCCATTTAAAAATTGTTCTAAAATTGGCTCTATAGGTCATTAGAGCACACTGGTTGAAAAGATGCAAAAATTGCAGGTATTTTCATTGGTGGGGGAGATATATAAGGGTAGAACATAAAATAGAGGTTATAACCTTAGATTTAAATTTGAGAGACTTACACTCAACTCCAGGCTCTGTCCCTCATTGTTCTTCCTCATTAGGGAGTTTAGTACTTGGCCAGTGTCATACTGCTTCAATTTCCTCACACGCACACAAAATTTTGGAGCTAGCATCAGGGAGACCCCTTAGGAAGCTGATGAAGGAATTTAGAGATATTTTGCACTAGGTTTGTGATAAAGGGATGGAAGGAGGGGAAAGATTTGAAATATACAAGGCCTCAGAATTAATCAAAATTGCAATGGATTAGATGTGAAAGGGAGGCAATGAAGGAGTATCAAAAAGATAGTATCCAGGTTTCTGTCTTGGGCATCAGAAAATGCCATCCACTCAGATAAGGTATACCAAAAAGAGGTATAGATGACCAGCAAGGAAACAATCAATAAATAATTAGTTTTCCATCTTCATTTCTTTTTGCCATATTAGATTTAAAGCTGCCTGGGTCTTCACAATTTGTAGTAGTGGGTTCATTGATGTTAGCTGAAAAGATAATTTTGCTTGGTGAATTTGTAAGTTTTTTTCAATTTTGCCATATTTAAAGTGAATCTTAAACAGTGTTTGTGAATTCTACATCTACATGGTTATGATGGGCAAATTCTTTTTTTATTACATTTTTTATTAGAATATATTTGTTATATGGGGGGGGATTCATAGTAACAATTCAGATTAGGCTCATTTCGTACATTGGGTAGCCCACCCCTATCCTGACAAATTCTTAATGACCAGCCCTAAATTTGGATGCGACTCCAGACTTCCTTTCCCCAGTTGCTCTGTGCTGTGGGGAATGACATCATGTCCTTCTACTGTAGTTTAAGTACATAGGTCTTAGATGTACACTTTTGTAGAGAGTTCTTCCCTGCTTTGGATGTTTACTTCTGTGTATTTATTTAATGTACCTACTGCTTGGGGATCTAAGAGGAAAGAATGATTTTTCTGGTTGGAAAATTTGAGAAGAATAAACTGAGTCTGTTTGGCTCATTGAGAAGAATAATCTTTGCCCTATTTTTTATTTTTGAGACAGTGTCTTACTGTGTTGCCCAGGCCGGCCTCGAACTTATGATTCTCCTGCCTTAGCCTCCTGATCAGCAAGAAGTACGGGTGTGCACCACTACATATGTCTCAGTCCCTTTGTTCTTTTGGAAAAAAGTTTCTTTCAAGAACTGAGGGTTCTTCTCTGTTTCTTCAAACTGGAAATCTCACCTGCTTCTTGCTCTCATGTGGGCAGGTTTCCCCATCCAAGGGCAGCCATGATGGGGAGATAAGTTAGACATACTAAGCAACTACCTCTAACCACTTCGGTCTCTAACCTGGCAGCATTCATGTCTCCCAGACTTCTCATTTACTTCTTTTTGAGTCTATTGGGAACCTGAATGGTTAAGTGGTGAACTATTCATTAGCCCATCAGAGGTTCCAGCCTGGACAAGCTGGCAGGAAACTAGGATTAAGCACTTTTAAGTGCATTAATCTCAACAAAGGATGACACTGGTCAATTACCAAGGCCAACCACTTGTTTTTTTCAAGACCTAAGAAGTTTCTTGTGCCAAAGTAAATTCATGAATATGATAAGTGTGTGAAGAGCTCATTGTTTCTAAAATTTCTCAAATAACACCATTGTGCAGTCTTGTCTTTCATGGCTTATTGGAATGAACATTTCAAAATTCATTTGTAATGAATTCTGTATAGGTGAAGTTAAGAAAGATTATTGCAAATGATATTGGGGCATGCCTAAGGTAGTTAAAATAATAGATGCCCTTGCTCAAAATATGGTTACAATAAAAATGTAGCTTCATAAAAATGCTGCACTGGGAGATCCATTGTTATTTTTGCATGACTTTGGAATACCTTACAATTGTCAAAGGACTCTTCCAATTTTTGTTACTTCAAAATTCAGTTTCTGAAAATTCTAATAAGGGCTTTCTTATCCTTACATCACCAGTAACAAGATTCTTTCCATGACAATGACTATTATAACAATAGCAGTGGTCTAGAAAACAAAATGTTATTCATTTGATCTTCTTAATGTAGGAAATAATTGTATAAAAGAGTAAAATTTGAATAAAGAATACAATTTATAAGCATTACAGGCATGTGTTAGCACTCTTCTAGGTTTTAGATACTCTCTTCATAAACTAATAGTCCTAGGAAGGAAATACTGTTAGTCCCATCTTATGAATGAGAAGACAGAGCTGCAGAGGGTTAGTAACTTGTTCAAATTGCCCTGACCAGTATGGTAGAGTAGGGATTCAGACCCAGGTCCACCATGTTCTGAAACCCATGCTCTGAACTTCACTGCTCGTAAGTCCATTTGAATGAGTTCTTGTAGACAGAAATGGATTCCTAATAAAGAGAAATATCATTTAGGAGTGCAGGCTGATAACTTGAAAGGTAAGTGCTACAGATTTGGAAAAATGGTACAATATGCAGTGACATAGAAGATGTATATAATTCTTACAATAGGATTCAAAAGATGCATGCTCAGTTTCCAACTGGGCCACTTAGGTTATTATCATACATATGTTACTCTCTTACAACTGCTCACCGATGAGTATAGATGATACCTGTCTATTTACCTCATACAGGTTTGAGGTAAATATCAAATGAAATCACACACGAGAGCACTTTGAACATCTGAAGTGATTATATTTATTTATTTTTTGTTACTATTACTCACTTAAAAGGAGAGAATCCTGTTGTAGACAACAAGAGTCTATAGCCCCAGTTGTGTATTCTGTGGTGACCTCAATGTTTTCTAAATAAATGACTCTAACATATAAAGGTAAGCTGTAGAAATGCTGACATCTCATGTTCCCCACCAGCTTTGTTGGTTGGGTTGGTTACTCTGAATTCAGAGTTGAGTACAAAGGAAGACAAAGAGAGGAAAAAGAAGGGAGAAAAGAGTGACCCTGTGAACCTACATGGAGAAACAGTTATGGGAAAGCAGAAGATGGAAAGATGAGCTCATCTATTAGAGAGGGTGAAGGCTTGAGAGCTGAAGGCAGCTTTTGAGAAGAACTTTCTAGGAATAAGAAAAAAAAAACTCCAATGTAAGATGAGTCTAAATAAAATCGACAGCTTGTACTTACTGAGCATTTACTATGTGTTAGTAATTTTCCTAGGGATACTGGGCATTGAAGTGAGACAAACTCATAAGTAGATGGTTTTAATTACATGTGGGACCTGAAATTGAGGGATTATGCCTGAAAGGAGAGACTATCCCTAGGGTTGGTATCTAGAGGAAATTTGCAACTGTACTGTGAGGGAGACATAGGAAGTCCAAAATCTTGCCTATTTCATAAATTTTACTAAGCTTATTTAATGGAAGAGATTTTAAGACACCTTTTTAGCTTTCTATAAATTCCAGGACTTTCTACCACTTAGAAAATAGATCTTGCATGTAAAATGGCTATGCACGATGCCATAGACCTACTGTGGAGAAGGGTTATACAAGAGAAGTAAAATGAAGAGTCTGTAGAATTCAGCTTGTGAGCTCATCAGGAGAGACTTTTGCGTTTCTCATCCTAACTGCATTAGCCTCTTAGTGCCCTGCAACAAACATCTGTTGGCAACTAAGGAAATGAATCAATGAAGTGGTAGATGAAGATTTCTTTTTTTTTTTTTTTTTAGTAATACTCAGTGATCTCTTCAGCCAGTAGTTATCATAGCCATTCTCATCCCCTCACCTAATTCCAAATTCTGTGCTTTGAAAAGGAAGAGGAATCAGTTTAAACAATGGAGCATTTTTCATTGTACATAGGCTTACATGAAGTGACAAAAGTGATCTTGAATATTTTTGCATATGCAAGGATCTTGCTAGGCAGATCTACTTCCATATTCAATCTTAAAGACTTCATTTACTCAATGTGACCATATTTAGATAGGATGTCTTGTTTTAATAGGGCAATTGGTGTGGTGACTCATTTTAGCATAAAATAAACATGATTTATGAAGTTTGAGTTAAAAGGGTGATTCCAAAGGAAATTGATATTAGAATACTCTTCCTGATTTGTAACCAGTATCATTTATAAACTTTGGAGAAATGTTAAGAGAACAGAGTTTACCAGTGAGTTTTTCCACCTAATCCTTCAGTAAACATTTACTGAAAAAATTTTATAACACTAGGCATATTTTATCTTCTATTGGTTAGGACATACTGGAAGCTTGATTAAACTAATAGCTTTCTATATGATTTGTTACAAGGTGTCTTTTTAGACTCTTCAGATTCTGTTTATATTCTTCTGTGACTCACTCATCACTAGCAAAAGCTCATATTTTCATAAAAGTCTTTTCTTGAAAATTATCAGTATTTTCTTCTGTTCCAAATTACACTTTGGGGACAGTGAAGAAGGAGCAATGTCAGACTAATTGCTCCAATAATAATAGGGCCCAGGCAGCTAGCTTTGATCTTAGGAACCATCTGCAATTCAGACCACTTTGATGTTTCATACAATGGAAGCATAAATATTTTCTATTTACTCCGTGATTGGACTTTCAAAAATCTAATTAAGTTGAAGGTCAATTAAGAGAAAATGAAATCTTGAATCCAAAAGTTAGGGAAGAGGTGGAATATGATGGCATGGTTATGTGTGCATAAAAGAAGCTAACTAATCTAATTATAAACTTATACAAACACCCAGAGAAATTGCCTTTCATGTGAAAAAAGGACCTAAAGCATTTTATAACATTGAGATCATTAATGTGTCTTTGAAACACACCCAGTACTGGAAAAGAATAGTAATACTGGCATTTCAAAACTCTATTACTTAAAGTTTTGGGGACAGCTAAGGATAAAAGCACTTTACAGCTCATCAAATGCAACCTCTTGCTCTTGTAAATGAGGACCATAAATTTGTGCAGCTTGAGCTATATGTACTGGATTCCCTTAGGTATAGTGTGAAGAGATTGCACTGCATGTTTCAAAGAAGACTGAAGGTTAGAGCAAGTCCCAGGGAACTGCAGCTCAATGCAGGCTAGGCCACCATAAGCAAGATTCTTCAGCAATCTAGGCCTCACTTTCCAAATTTGTAAAGTAAGATGAATGATGCCCATCTGGTAGGTTTCCTGTCGGGGTTAAATAATAAATGTAAATCTCTTAATCCAAGTTGTACACAGTAGGTAGAAAGAGTTGAAAATTCTTCGTTTTCCTTTTATTTCTTTTGTGAGAACATGGGCTTTAGAATTTAATAGACCAGAGACCAAATTACTTGTCTTTCACTTGCTTTCTATGTTGCTGTGGATAAGCAATTTTACTTTCTTATACTTTAGTTTTTTAAACTTTAAAATGAAGTCAATTATATCCACCTTGCCAAAGTTGTTAAGAAAAACAAAGAGTATTTATATAGATTCTTGCACACAGGTGTTTACATGTAGGACATAAAATCACAGAATGTAACTCATCATGGCCTAAAACATACTTTGAAATGTGGGCTAAGATGTTTGTGCATGTATGTCTATGTGCCTATGTGTGTGTACTGTGTGTGTCCATGTATATATATGTGTGTATAGGGAGTGTGTGTGTGCACTTTATATTGCATGTATGATACACATAGAAAAGAACTTTCAAGACATCCCTGCCACTGGCCATGATTGTGTGATATGGAAACTAGAATTTGAATGATATAGAAAGGCATTCCTAACTGAATAAAGTAAACAAATTCTCTTTATTCCTTTGCTGGGTGACACACATCTTATAGATCCTCCCTTCCTCCTCCTTTTGAACTACATCTAAGGATCCTTTCATCTGACAAGTTCAAAGTATGCCCACTTACCTATGCATCTTAGTAAAATCTTTCTTTTTAATTCCCATACTTTGGGACAAATAGATAACCAAAATTAACTTATCAAGCATCCCTTTTAGCCATCAGGGATAGATGATATCTGACCACAGTGGCTTGAATTTGTTCCCAAGGCCAATTTGTTAAATAGAAGATGATAAAATACAGTCTTGGGATATTCCCCTTTGACAACAATGCATTAAGGTAGAAATTCCAGCTAAAACAGATAGGAATTGTTACCTTGCCAGAGTAATATGACCTTGGTGTCCAAAAACACTAAAATAGTGGCTGCAGAAATGCTAGTGTAGTCTGAGCATCTTTCCTTAATTCTGCAGTCCAAGTAAAAGACAGAGGTTATTGCTAAATGTATTATGGGTTATATTTAGAGTTGGTAGAGTTGATTTATCAAATTCAAAGGCCAAGTCCTGCCCTTGGATGTGTCCAACGTATAAATGTGCACCCCTGACTGAAGAACATCTGCTTGATATGTGATGCTCTTTTGCTAATGGAATGTTTAGAGCTCACTGGAGGTAGAGGTGTGCCCCAGGCATGTAGCACCTGCTGCTCCCATACTCACAGTTCACAGTGACCTTGACTTGTTTGACATCGGCTGAGGAGACCTCGTTGGCAGCTTTGCACTCATATTTGCCTGACTGCTCCCTGGTGATGCCAAGAATCTCCAGATATTCTTCTTCTCCTTCAAATTCTCTACCTGCAAAACAGAAGTTTCCATGATTGTTTTTTTAAGTCTAAAATATGCAGCAAATTGCCTCATTTTTCTTTTTAAAGCAATAAATCCACATAGTTTTTCAATAATTTGACAGTATGCTTTGTCTGAGGTCAGATTCTTCAGAAACTGACCCCAAAATAAAAAATTTTGTGAAAGTGATTAAGTACAAAATATTCTCAGGAAAAACTGGTAGAGGACAGGGAAAATGGGACCTGAAAGAGAAAGAAGCCAAACAAGAGTATGATGCCAAGCCAAATCCCACAGAAAACAACACTGCATTAACTCTTCAGGGAGCTCTGGGGATAGCACATGTCCCACTTCCAAGTTGTCCTTATCACAAGGCAAAAGGCTGGGGTGTTTGTAATAACATTCATATCTGTCAGTCATTGGTTGAAACAAAGTATGGAAACAGTGGAGGTGTACTCTGAGGGGTATGGGTGAAGTATTGACATCACTAATTGCATGCTTTACACCAAAGTGACTTTAGAAAGAGAAGTGACTTCCTTTTGAGAAACACTGCTCTTCTTCAAATTATGTGGAATTCTTTTCATAAAGATCGTGTGCTAAATCATGTCATGCATTTATGGTTTTCTTGTTCTATGTCATTAAGGAGGCTTTCAGTCCATCAGGTAGATCTGTAGAATGTGCTGCTGTGGTAGTATTTTGTGATGGATTGTGATCCTTGGTGCTGAAGATTGGGAGCTCAACATCATTGGCTTAACAGTTGGTATTAGAGATATGGAGGCTGTTTTAAAAAAGATCTACAAAGTCAGATATGGCCATTTTAGTAAAGAAATATTAAGACAGAAAAACTTGTTTAAACTCACCTTTTTGGGAGTATAACTGATTAAATGACCTTCTTCCTAAAGAGATTGAGAGAAAGAAGGAAAAAGTACAAGGGAGAGGAGTAAGGAGTTTGAGTAATAGGAAGAGCTTGACTGGAAAGGTTTAAGGACTTCCACTGTAGCAAAACTGAACATTCTTCATCCCCCAAATTTCAGCACTCCATTGCTGATTGGGTAAGGATTGAGCAGCTGGAGATGGTGTTAAAGAACACAGCCTGCAACCATGATGGAATCTTGCTTCTGGTCATCCTACACTAAATGATACCAATTAATAGCTTTGCTCAAATGCCGGGAGCTATTTTCCTTTTCTGGACATTCCCTGATGGCCAAATCAGTGTAACAACCAGCCAGCAGGCCCATGAATTTACTGTCTAAATGTGTCAGATAAGCCGCTTAAGTGGGCTCCCAACAGAACACAGGACCTCTTTGATAATGCTGTATAGCACAAGTGTCAGTAATACTCTAAGCTTCAAATCTCTGTCAATTGTCAGGATCACTACTTTTGAGGAGACTTTTCAATCTCAACAGACAATAAATAGTAATACAAAATTTTTAGTTCTGAAATTCTGCACATTTTTTGCAAATGTTTCTACACAAAATGTTTTAGAATTGACCTATGATATGTAGCTGGAAATTGGTTAAAAAGCATAATTTCCTCCTTTTTTCCTTCCTCATATTCAAGCAAGTAGACAGCTATGATTTTGAGTTATGGAAGTGGAATGTGGTAGGGAAGAAAATAGAACTCTCAGGGTGATAGGGCACTTAAATGGATTAACTGGGCAGGATTTGAATTTGGGAGAAAATCTTTTGTGTGCATCTACATCTATGGACTCAAAGTCATATCATGTAGACTCTTCTAGCTCAAAATAAATACCCTAAAGAAAATGACAATTTGGACAATGGCCAATGACTGAAATAGGTGTAAGCTAATTAAAAACCAGGCATGCAGGGGTGGAATACACAGAAAGGTAGTATTGAGAGTAATGGTGGATTATAATGAGAAGACTTAAAGATGATTGTGAGTATTAGGGTTGCAGGATTCTTCCCATGAATTTATTTCCAGGTACATACAGAGTTTTTAGTAGAAGAAAAAGAGAACAAGTATAACCTTTGAATAATCTTGGAGATGACTGAAATACTGAATTGTTTTCAATTTCTGTGATACCTAGAAATGGGTCCCCCCCCCCTTTTTTTTGGTGGTACTGGGGTTTGAACTTAAGGTCTTTTGTTTGCTAGGTATATGATCTACTACTTAAGCCATGCCCTTAGCCCTTTTCCTGCTTTTTAGTTATTTTTCAGGTAGAATCTTGTCTTGCCTAAGGGTGGCTTTAAACAAAGAGCCTCCTGATATTTGCTTTACCAGTAGCTGAAATTACCTGTGTGAGCTACCATGCCCACCCCCTACCTCACATTTTTAACTTGTTAAAGAAATAAACCAGTTATAGGAAAAAGAAATATGACTCTAGCAGCACTGTCTGAGACCCTATGAGTTTGGGAGTATAGCACTTGGGGCTTGAGATTCTTATATACCTGTATATATATATATATATATATATATATATATATATATAGTCTCATTTTTTCCTGATAAATGAAGGTAAGTAGCTAATAAAACAGATTCTCATCAGATAAACTTTTAATTTCATGTCTCTAGGAAGAATTTTCCCCAAACAGTACCTGAAGATGAAAGGGAAGTTTTCCTTTAAGTGACTCACGTGCTAGGTACACATTGGTTTTCCTTCATCTGTGATTGCTGTCTTCTACTCCACGACTGCCTTTGTCTCTAGCACACAACTTCATACTACAGTTGGTGAGTCTCATGGCGCAAACTAAATTCAGGTAAGAGAAACTACATGATCTTCTTTCATCCAGCCAGCCTGACAAGCACTGAAAATATTGACTAAGACCTGAGGGCTGTCCTAGTCATTTTTTCTTTGTTTGCTCCTGGGATTCTTCAGCTGGAGCTCTTGCATTTCCTGGCATTTCTTGCTTATTTATTCAACTCAAAGCCACAAGAGACACTCCCTCAATGCAGTATATCTATTACCTCACTTGAGAATTTCTCATTAGTCTGGAGTGATTTGGTAGGAAATGGAAGCTCCTCTATCATGAGAAAGCCAAAGCTGCAGGTTGTATGCTCCTTGGGGACTATGTCTTACTCAGAATATCCCCATGAACTTGCAGAGGGGTTGGCACAGATTAGGCACTCTATAAATGTTTTTTGAGAGCATACTATAGACTGAATGCCTGTGCATCCTGCAATTTATATATTGAAATTTAATCCCCAATGTGATGATATTTATAGGGGAGGCCTTGGAGAGGTGATTAGAACAAAAGAATGGGATTCTCATGAATGAGATTAGTGCCTTATAAAAGAGAACCCAGAGAGCATGTTCCTTCTACCATGTGAGAACACAAGGAAAAGATGACCATGGATGAACTAGGAAGTGGGCCCTCACCAGACACTGAATTTGCAGGTGCTTTTTTACTTTCCAGCCTCCAGAACAGTGAGAAATAAGTTCCTGTTGTTTATTAACCCACAAATCTATGTTATTATTATTATAGTAGTTGAATGGATTGAGACACAGCTGAATTAAATTAAGAAACACAAGTAGATACTGGAGTCAGTTTCAACACTTCATATAGCATAAGAGAATGAGATAAGTATTGAAAGATGGATAAGCATTTCTGCATAAGAAGCTGTCCTAAAAACATTCCCTCTAAATGATCCTACTAGAGCACTGTTTTATTGGGGAAGTAAGGGTGTGCAGTAGTCTGCTGCCAAAGGCAGGACAGGGGGCATCTCTGCCCATGTTTGAGAATGGAACTGGAATATGGAGTCATTGTTTCAGAAACCAATGGAGACCCTGTGGACACAGACCTGGTAGGATGTCATTCCTTTCAGCTCAAGAGATGTATTTTCTTATTTTAGAATCAGAAAATTCTAAAAGGCACTCAGATTCTCTTGCTCTTTTTCCCTTTGCCCCACTGTGTCTGTTCCAGAGGGGGGCACTACCTGTTCTTTCAGGTCACTCTGACCAGCTGCCCTCCATTGAAGGATTCAGTCAGCATTTCCTCTACTCTCTTAACCTTAAGGAAATTCTCAGGACACAGTGTTCTTGACTTCCCTCACTGAGTCCAGTTCTTGGAGCATCCTTCTTTTGATGCACTTTGCTTACTACTGACATTCATACACACAGTAGCATAACGCACACATGTTTTTCCATATCTCATTTTTCTTACATTCTCTTGTATTTTGGGAATTACCCATTTTAGTGCTTATGGAAGTGGTTTTTAAAATATACTAGTATGTTGATGGGCTGTAGTTGACAAATATTTTTGATTTACGTTTATGTTGTTTTTAAACATTTTGTTATTGCAAGCAGTGCTTGAAACAAATATCTGTTGACATATGGAAAAAAAAAAAGAAAATTCTCGGGGCAGAAAGTGATCCATAACCTGTTGTTGAAATTCTCCAGAGGACTTGCCTTATGGTTACAACTTAGGTCCTTCTCTTTTCCTATTATTTTCTGCCCTTGTATAAATATTTACTTGAATTGCAAATTTTAGTATTTTGGTATTTTGAACATCTCAACCAATTTCCACAAGCCTGCTCATGTTGCTGAGTCTTACATTTATTCTGATATCGAGTGCTTAGTTTAAATCTCCTTTTTCTTAATGTGCTTTGTGTCTCCTGGCAACAATTCAGCTACCAGGATAAACAATTTCTCCTCCTCAGTGTCTACACCTTTCAAACTCTCACATAAAATCAGTATATTCCCTCTTAGTCACTGTTTACTCCAGTTATGCATATTAGTTCCTTTAATATTTCTTCATAAGTTGGAAGGACTAATGGCAAGAGAAAAGTATTTTCTCTGGTTTTCACAATGTGGAGACAAATTGGCTAGGCATTACTTCAATGAAAGTATGCTAGGTGCTATCTGCTAAGTACAGTGAAGTACTTACTTTGGTGAATTCTGTAGTTCATATCCAAAAATGTTGATTTATTCACATTTCCAATGTCAATCATGCATTTGCAAGTAAGCAATCATTTGGAATTAAATACATTTCTATGTCGCTTCTCTCCCTCTTTCTCTTTCTTTCTTCTTGCCTTTCCCTTCCTCCTTCTTCCTACTT